AATATTCATGCAAGGTACAGCCCTCTCAATTTATCATGTGCTATATCATAGTCTTTCCTAGGCGTTACAATTGTTCAAAATATGTGTGACAAAATGTGACTGAGTGAATGTACCCTACAAAGTGAACAGTTAGATCAGATGTTACAAACAAAACAATCCTAGCAGAATGGAAAAGGATCACAGAGTGGTCCTCTGGATTCAGATAGAAATTATTTTAGAAAAGAACCTCACAAATGGATTATTGTTACTTATACTACATATGAGATGCTAGACAAGCTAAAGATTAGGATTATGAAAAGATAAATTCTTTCCAATTCCCATCAAAGTAACAATAGCTGCATATTTGCTGACAGTAGACTCATTCCAGATAACAATGGAGGACATCATTTAAATTAGCTATTGAAGTAATAACAACACACTGGATGTGCTATATCCAAGTCCATGAGAACAGTTTAAGATTTGTGAGAACTTATTTAATGCACCCAGACTCATAGTCCACCCTATTGGATCCAAAAACTGTATTAGTTTCTCCATGAGGATATCATTTTGACCCTCTTAAAAATGCAAAGCTCTCCTCAATTAGTATGCATCTACAGAGCACCAATAGAATGCTTGATGCAGTGCAAAAATTGGATAAAAGAATAAATAAATCAGAATAGGATCTATAGGAATTCCATACACAAAAATAGATGAAAAGAAAATTAAGGTTGCAAAATGAAGCATTCAGAAATCTGGAAATGTCAAAATTAAGGTTGCTATTTCCTTTATGCAGTCTGTAATTATATTATCACACACACTATATTCTCACTATTTTTCCTTATTTAGTATGAAGGCTGGATAGCAAATGTGGCAGGGATCTGCATTTAGTATGAGTGAATGAGGCAGAGATAAGACTAAAAAATAAATATTAAATAGTTGCCTCATTAACTGAGTACTGCCTAACCCATGCACAGAACAAGGCAGAGGTCCACGGGAAAAATCAGTATATGATCATGTAATACTATACATCTGCATAGGTACACATATCTCATATATGCAGATATGATACAAGGGTAAATATACAATGGACATTCTTATCTTCTCCATTTGTTTTTGTACAATACCAAGCATACTGCTAGTGTTCTCATTTTATGTATTTTAGACCATCAGTATTAGAACCTTGATTTATACCATATGTTCATTTGTTCAACAGCACACACAGCTCTCTCCATTAGTGCAAAATGCCACATTTTATAATTTATAATTAAATTAATATATATTCCACATCATATTGATGTAATTGAACTCATGTAATTATATACTATAGATGAAATTCATGCTGACACAGTACATGTTCACCCAGATCAACATTTTTAACATTAAATATTTTATATATTTATATATATATATATATTGTATATATATAATTGTTTGCCTTTCTCCTCCCTCATTATGTTCTGATTAGCGATAGCAGGTCTTCCCCACGGACTGAGTGTAGTCATTATGGTATGCTCCCTATTAGAATTGTCATTGTATTGCACTTTCCCAGAAAGTTTGTGCTACTTTTTCCAGCTAGCCACTGGTTATCTGTTTTGTTTCTGTAATAGCAGTGATCAGTTTAATCAGTAAGCCAAAACATTGAAACTGACTAATGAGGAATGCACTTGGTTTGACAGAGGGGACAAACTCTTAGAAAAGGAGACAGCTCCATTAGCAAATTACTTTGAAGAAAAATGGTGAATCTATTTTAAATGCTGCTCTTCTTTCCCCCTTCCCCTATGTATGCATGTTATTGCCTCTCTCCCCCATCTTGCTCTGGGCCCCTTCTAGATCTTATTTTTTGAAAATTTATTTATGTTCTGTTGACAGCCTTTTTATCCTCTGGTGAAGATGTCTGAGACAAAAATCAGTTTTCAGGTCAGTCAGCAACACAGGCAGTCACAAAAAAATCTTCATTGATTGAAAACCTGAAAATCGTTGCGAGAGAATATGAAGCCCCATAATGTCATCTTTAGAGTCCAGCCACACATGGAAAGAGCAGGCAATAGCGGTCCCTTCGAACAGGGACTGTCCCAGGCAGAGGGAAGGCTATTGGGAAGATGCTGTCCAAGGTGCTGCCTTCCCCATGGCTAATTGTAGTCCCCTCTATCTGGGAGCAGTGTGTGATGAAGAATCAAGAGATGGAAAAGGCCTACTAGGTCAGGAAGGGTATGGCTGCACTGCATTGTATACCTAGACCTGTGGGACCCTTGCTTGTGGAGCTGGTGTCTCCAAGCCCTACTTTGAGCACTCACGCTATGGCATAAACCCGGGTTTACAATTGCTGGACCTGGGTCTCACAACCATGCTAACAAATCCCTACTGCATGATGCTGATCTTCTGCAAAATGACAGGGCTTGGGACACAGCAGGACTCCAGCTCTGATCCACACCCCTAGGCGGGTCCCAGGACCTGTGTCCTGAGTCCTTGCTGACTTGAGTCAGACTGATTTGTGTGTGGACAAAATGGGGAGGGGGGGCATGCTTGGGTTCAAACTTGAGTCAGAGCCTGGGGTGAATGTGTAGTGTAGACACCCCCCTAGTCCTGCACTTCATCAAGGCAGGATTGTTACCTACAAACCGGGTGCAGGAGAGCTGACTGGGGCGGGGCGGGGGGGGGGAGTTACAAGGAGGTCACAACGTGCTGTAGGAATCGTGTGAAGTTGTGGCAGAGGATGAAGCGCAGAGATTTTTGGAGGGGGGCGATCACGTCCCCTGTCATTTCCATAGGAGCCCCCTTTCCTCGTTTCTATGGAAGGCCCCCCTCCTGTTTTCATTTGTGGGGGGGGGGTCCTCGCTTTCCCCTGCTTCACTAACGTTTCACGGAGGGTCCCCCCACGGCCTCAGTTACCAGAGCTGCGGCTGCTTGTGCAACACCCCCCCACCCCCTCCCGCCGCGGCCCCGCAGGACACGTGGGTCTCAGGAGAAGACCGGGCTCCGGAAAGGAGAGCAGACCGCGCTGACTCCTTTCCCTATGGGGGGGGGGGGGGTCACACTCGTGTAGTCTCTGTCTGGATTAACGCGAGGCGAGGCGAGGCCAGGTCGATTCCCAGCAAAGCGGCCCCACGCGGTGGTGGGTGCCTTATTTATAACTAGCGCTGGGAAGCCCAATCCGCCCCCAGAGCCCCTGTCCCCGGAGGCTCTCCGGGTCCGAGCTCCAGAGCAGGGGGGAGGGGGAGATTTTTCCCTCCTTCACTCGGGCGGCCTGCAGCTCCGAGCTCCGTCGATCCGGCCGCTCGCGGGGAAAGCCGCTCTGGGGTTTCCGAGCCGCCGCTCTCTGGACCCTCCCCACCCGGTGCCACGCGGCCGGGCCGGGCCGAGGCAACCACAATGTGACCTGTCAATCAAGGTGTCAATCATACAACGTGTCAATCATACTTATCACCGCTCGACGCCGCGGTTCGCCAGCGGGGCCCGGGCTCCGGCTCGGATCTTGCTCTGATCCCCCCCCCGCCCCAAGAGAAAACAGCTGCCTTGGGCGTTTCAGCGGCTTGCACGGGGCGCTAGCGAGGGGCAGCCGGTTCTGTGGCGCAGGCGGGAGGCTGATGCTAAATGCTGGGGAGCCAGAGGGGTGCGGGGGGAGCGGGCAGGTGATAAGGGGTAGGCAGAAGGCGCGCGGGGGGGGTGTACTGCTGGGAGCGGGACCCCGCCCCAGCGGCACGCAGATCTGCTCCCCGAAGGCAGGCGGTCGGACGGGGAAGGAACGGTGCTGGCCGCACGGGGAAGGCGGGGTGGGGAGAGGGGGCGCCGTGCAAGGGGGGTAGGAAAGCGCCAGGCAAGTCCAGATTTCCATCCCCGCGCCTTCTCCCGGGCTCCGCCGCTTGTTTGCTGGCCGCTCCGGCTCCGCTCGCTCGCGCCGGGCAGAGGGCGCGCAAACACAGCTTCACACTAGCGCCAGACCCTCGAGCCGCAACAACACCCCTCTGCTCTCAACATAAAGCGTTTGGCACATCAGTGGCCTCTGGAGCCCCCCCCCCCCCCCAATGCCACCGGAGTAGCAAAGCCCCAGGACTCTGCGCGTGTGAATACTGCAGTTAGAGCGAACCGATCCTACACCGTTTGTTGTCACATCCATTCCTTCCTTCGAGCAGGACGGTGCCCTTGGGGTGAGAAACCCCTGATCCTGTCCAAGAACCCCTCCGCCCTTCCCCCCCCCCCCCCCATTGCACTGGAAAATGAACACGCGAGGAGCAGATGGAGAAGGCCACACACAGTCTGTTAAAACCATTGTTTGAGGGATGGAGAGGAGAGAGAAATTATCCCGCACTCCCTCAACTTCCAGCGTGTTTGGAGTGGTCTGGACGATTCTGTACGGTTCCGATCCAGCATCGCTTCCTTATTCTACATCCTAGAAACGCACGATTTGTAGAATCCAGACATAAATAAATAAAATCAGCCATCGCTAATTAGTGCCCAGAGCTCAGCTAGGCAGCGTTTGCGTTTCGCTGCTCTTCATGCCGAGGGTTTGCAACCAGGAACCGTTACTTGAAGTTTTTTAAGCATGGGGGGGGGGGGAGGGTTGAAAACCATATTGAAAGGAGCCTTATCAGCCAAACAGCCTCTGAACACTTCTTAGGTGTGTTATATCTGGGCTAATTTTAGATAGATGCAAAACAGTCTCTCTCTGGGTTTGTCTCTCTCTTTGGAAGAGGGAAGAAAGTACTCATGTTTCAGAGTTAAAGCGTTATTTCACTGCAAGCGGAAATACAGACACTGCACCCTAATTAAGGTGCTTTCTCTCTGGGCTTTGAAAGGGTAGAGTGGTGAAAAGACGTGAGTGTCCCCACCCAAAGCAAAGTCACTTGCTTAATTAAAACTACACTACTAGTGAACGAAAACGCTACTGGCACCGATCACGATCAAAGCAGCTCTGGCGAGGAAAGGGTTAAGAACGCAGCGCTTCTTTGTTAGCAGATTTTTTGTCCCCCTTCCCCATCACAGATAAATTAATTTGTTACGAAGTGATAGCATCCAGTTGAGCACGTGATGATCCTTCATCTGCGTCAGACCTGTGTAAACTGGGCTAGACTATTTAAGGAGCAGCATTTCAGACTGTTAGAACTTATCTAACCTGAACACTAGTCTCTCTGATTTGAACTAGGAAAAAGTATCTTACTTAAAGGTAGGAGATGATGGGTCAATAACTTTTTAGCCATAGTTTGGGTGAATCTTTGCTTGTAGAAAAATGATGTGACTATTTATTTGTCTACTTATTTTTTAAAATGTGAATTTTCAGGGTATTCTTCTCATGAATATTCTCACAGGCACCTTCACTAAAGAAATTTAGATCTTTAATATTCAGGACATAATGTTCAGCTCTTTAATATGTCTTGGCAGGGAATAATACATATTTCTATAGTTCTTTTTATCAACATTATGTCATTAAACAAACTATTTTATATCCTTGAAAAAGACCCTGGAAAGCAAAATTATGTTTTAGTTTTGTAACTGAGCATCTAGCTCTCTAGGGTTGCACAGCATTTGTGATGGGAAGTGAAAATTAATTATGTAAAGAGACATAAAATCATGAAAATGAACTGATATATGTATTTTAATATTGAACTTTATGTTGTGAGTCACTCATTGGGTGTTCTCACCTGGCTACTTCATCTATCTCTACATGAAAAGAATATAGAGGATAGGCATTTTATAAGTAGCAAGGATGTACTTGATGCTTCAGTGATAAGGTATTAATTATGCTGGGACTGCAGAATCCTGAAATGTTACCACTTTGAAACTTTTCTTTCATCTCATAACAATTGTGATGGAAACCTGTTTGCCTCACATTAAAACATTATTAACTCTAATGTATGTGATGGGTAAATTTGTTTTAACAGTTCATATTTGAGACAAGTTTATATATATATATATATATATATATATATATATTATTGTTCAATAACTTGTAAGTTTTAGGGGCTCTTAGCCATGAAATATTTCATATACACATATAAAATAGCATTCTAGCATTAAGAAGTATCCAGTTCAATATTTCCTCTTGAACAATGGACTGTTTACAAACTGAAGACTTATGTTACATTTCTAGAAGAACTCTATTTCAGTTTATATAATGATTTAATGCAAATCTGTGTATTATAGTTTAAGATATGTAAAATAAGTCCTATGTTTGGATTTTATAGAAGCAAGAAAATGTCCATAACACTTAAATTCTCTACTGCCTCTTAAATCAAGAAACATTTTACCTACCTGTCAGATATTCTCTTTCCAATCTTCTCCCATTTAACACTGTTCCTTTGTTTCCAGTACACTCTAAAATCTAGTTTGTTCAGAAGTTTTTTAAAAGGGAGGAAAGGGGTAGTATTAAATACAGTGAAGTTCACCATTCTAACAACCTCACATTTCTTTTCCCTCCAGCTATGTACAGTGGTATCTGCATCTACATGTTCCTTGCTATGCTGTCAACAAGCTCTTTTGGACAGCAGGCTACAGGCTCACACAATGAGAATCCTGTGGCCACTGAGCTTGAGCAGAGCTTGACAGAGCATCACCGACATGTTCGTGTCCCTTCATCAGCTGGCCAGCTGAAACCTATCCAGCGGGTGGATGGAAATGTTGACCAAAAAGCCAACATTGGAGCTTTGTTGGCCAAATATCTCCAGCAAGCCAGAAAAGGTAATAGCCAACTTATTATGCCATGTGTCTGTGTCAAAAGAATTCCTTTTGAGATTCAGTATTTTTATAGATTCATAGATTTTAAGGGCAGAAGGGACTACTATGATCATCTACATTTGTAAAGGAAATATTGAAAAATATTAATAAGGAACTGAGTATTTGCTTTCATACATGTACAGTAAGAATCTATCTTACGTTTCTAGTTTCATGATTGCTTAGAGTACAATAGAATTGTACAACTGCAAACCTCTGGTGTTGCAGCTAAGTTTGTTGCATACAGTATCAATGGAGTAGTTCAATTTAAGGGCTTGATTTTTCAAACTCTTACATTAGTTGCACTTTCCCACCTGAGTAGGTAATGACACAACCTACATGAGTAAGGATTTGTAGGCCAGAGGCCCACAAAACATGTATTTGCACAAAATAAAGTGGTTTACTGTATAAACCTTATAGTATATACTGACTCACACACAAACCACACACATAGAATGACTTTCAAAAAGGAATGCTTTCCTCCTGAAAAGCTAGATATTTGTTCTTCCAAAAGAGATACTGGATTTAAAACATTTCCAAATAGTTGTCCATTCAAACTTCCTGGTAAGGGGTTCATTCACTTTTTTTTTTTAAATGCTCTGTTCTGAAAAAGAGCTCAGTTTTGTATCGGAATACACCAGACTATTGCTCACATATTCTCAGGGGGCAGGCTACTTGCAGAGCATTTCCAGTGAGCAAGATGGCTGCCAAGTGCAGCAGAAAGTACTACACATGGTTTCAGAGGTCTTTTCATCTGCTACAGTCTCCCTATATTCTACACCCTGCATTGTAGGAAAGGAGGACATCTTGAAAGTGAAGGGGGTGGGTGTCGGGGCCAACAGGAGATTCTTTGCCTACTATTACACAGCTGTTTTGATGTCAGGTAATTACTTCACGCCCAGACCAGAATTATCTCCCCTCGTGCACTTAAGATGAAATTCACTTCACCCAAGCAGTGGCCTGCCCCTTTCATTCCCCTTCACATTGGCCTATGCAGGGCTGAGAGAGACCTCTTCTTTGTCACACATTCGGAGGCCACTTCACTTGTGACCTGTCCCTCCACGCAGCCTCATTATGGAGCTTATATTGAGCTGGCCTCCACACTAGGTTGAATTTCTTCCTTACTCCTGATAGGACGCTGGAGTAAAAGATGCCATGTGTGTTATATAGAGCATATATATTGTCTGCGTTTTCACACTCACATTCACACTTACATATATAAAATGGTCAAGTAATAATAAAGTTATAAGCAACTGGAAAACATATCACTTCTGAGCATGTGCTGAAGGCATCTGAACAGCGCCTAATAATGCCAAATCTAATCATGTCCATTCTGGAGTCCAGTTTAACAGTAAAAGTAATATAAGGGGGAGAAGACCTGATGTTCATTTAGAAAGATCTGTGCTATAATTAAGTTATTTGTGGGACTAAGCATTATTATTACAAGAGATCTGTGAAACAGAATCTTAATTATATCTCTCAAGTTTTATATTTCCATCCTTCATTTCCTGAAAATCTGCTGTTTGGAAGTTTATCTATTTATTCTGTTTCAGTATGGTTTCATAGTTTGTGCATTCTCCAAAATACCTGACTGGCATTTCAACTATCTCAATCAGCTATCCTGAAAGAACACTTTGGCTTTATCTTAAATGTTACCTGACAGAAGATATCCTGTATCTTGTTGATTTAGCTCAGATTCCTTAATCCCCACCACACACACCCCTAAAAAAGCCCACCTATTTTTAGAAGTATGTTCGTAGTCCTTAAAGCCACTGTAGGCATATGATACAATACATTCTTGTGACCTGGTAGAGGTCAAGCTTGATTCTAGCCTGTCGCAGACAGATGGTTGGACTTGGACATTTTAATGAACTTGTAACAGGAGAGGATAAAGAATTCAGAGTGAAAGGACAAAAACATGTAACCTTTGTATGGCTGGATCTGATGAAAAGTACATTGTGGCCTCTCATTTACTTCCCCTTCAAGCCCATTATCTACCAATTATATTATCATCCTTTAACAGAAGACCCTTATGGCTTGTGTGTTCTAGGAGGGGTTGCTCAGTGTTGTAATTTCATCAAGATAATATTGCTTTTAAATTTAAAAAATGGCTGATATGAAGCTTCCATCTGATATATGATGAGAAATCTCAAGACTTCCCCTCAATTCCAGTTTTAGTCACTTTGGGGATGTTCAATCCATACCTACTGGCAAGAAGACACTACACATATTGGGACTTTTGCTGTGCTAATAATGATTAGTGGTGACGTTTGTGGTTATGGTTTGTGGAGAGGCATTGCCAGTTATAACTGTGGGGGAAAATAAGTTATCTCATGAGGTTAGGGTTGGGTTCTACCATCTTTCAAAAATGGCTGTAATTTGAAGCTGAAATGTTTGAAGGCCAGTGGCTCTGTAGAGTGTCTATAGGCCACCTTCAGAGATTTGAAGGTAATTAAGATGGCTTCTATTTTGATGTTAAGAAATTCAGTTTACTGTGCATAACCCACTAGCTCTTTGAATTAAGTTATCCTAAAAGTGTTCGATCATGTATCTGGCAGCTGGGTAAAGGAGACACACTGTGGCCGTCAAGTCAGAGACACATGAATTAAAAATGCTTTGTCAGGGCAGATCACAATGGCTCTAAAAGAGCCAATAGGGCCCAGTGGGTAATCGAGTTTCAAATTCAGAAGTCTTAAGTAGAAACCATCACTCAGATCAGGAACTATCTGTTCCAAAGGTATCAGACTATACTGCCAAGAAACCACATTCTTGTCACCCCTTAATTAATTTGAATTATGTATGTGAATTTCTTGGCTTCTGAGCATTTAACAGATATCCTTAATTTGTTAAGCAATCAGACTTTTTAGTAGTTAAATTTTTGCCATTTTGGTTTAAGTAAATGTCTAAAGGCTGGAGGAGGGGGATCAATTCAGTTTACATGTACTCTCCTCTGCAATCATCGATAAAGTGATTACGTTCCTAACCATATGTTCATTATTTTATTCTGAGTCATTTCCATCTGTAAAGAAAACTCCATCCACATAAAAGTACTGTGGCAGCAGGTGTTCCTTTCAAATATACATTCTTATATAGTAAAAATATTCTGTAGATTTGAGGACTTTCTAATTTTGAAAATTTAAAGACTCACAGATCTGGGTCAAAACTAAATATTAACAATATACTGTATAGTGTTTGTTCCTGTTCCCATTAAAAGTTAATGGGACCTTTGTCATTGACTTCAGTCATAGGAGGTTTAAGCTTATTTTTATAATTACAGTATTACTGCACACGAAGCTAAAATATGTCCCTTGGGAAGTGCAAATTTTCACATTCTTAACATTTTAAAATTCTTTCAGTTCTAATGATGTAACATGTTAAGACAGATAAAGACCTTTCTTTTTCATCTCTGGGGCTTGATTTACCACAGAAAATGTTGGCCTTACAGCCTATTAATGCTTTAAACATAGATGGACAAAAAACCAAAAGCAATAGCAGACATCAGCACTCTAATACTATTGCAGAAGGAAGCACAGAAGAACCTTAGCTTGATAGCAGAAGTTATCCAAAAGTAATAGGTTTCAGAGGAACAGCCGTGTTAGTCTGTATTCGCAAAAAGAAAAGGAGGACTTGTGGCACCTTAGAGACTAACCAATTTATTTGAGCATGAGCTTTCGTGAGCTACAGCTCACTTCATCAGATGTATACCGTGGAAACTGCAGCAGACTATTACCAGCAGGACAGTGGGGTGGGAGGAGGTATTGTTTCATATTCTCTGTGTGTATATAAAGTCTGCTGCAGTTTCCACGGTATACATCTGATGAAGTGAGCTGTAGCTCACGAAAGCTCATGCTCAAATAAATTGGTTAGTCTCTAAGGTGCCACAAGTCCTCCTTTTCTTTTTTCCAAAAGTAATAGTATTCAGAGTTCCAGAAGAGTTGTATCTGTAAGTTCTAGCCAGACCATTCTCACATACAAACATGCCCAACTTCTCTGGAAAACCCACATGTCTGAACTCCATCCCACTCCTAATAAAGGTACATTGTAAGAATATGTATTCTCATACTCTGCACCATCTGTGGCTCTTCAGGCAACATAGAGGACTGTCATGGAGTCCTCATCCCAGGCATGATCCTCCTCTCAAGTAGATTTAGCTCATCACAGAGCATTCCACACCCTGCCTGACAAATCCCACTATATTTTCCACTGTATGCATCCAATGAAGTGAGCTGTAGCTCACAAAAGCTTATGCTCTAATAAATTTGTTAGTCTCTAAGGTGCCACAAGTACTCCTTTTCTTTTTACGGATATAGACTAACACAGCTGCTACTCTGAAACCAGAAGGAGACATCATAGAGAACACTGAGCAAATGGGCTGAACCAACCAGGTCCCTCCTTATCCCTTTAAGTGGCCATGCAATGAGGAAGAAAGAGGAGAAATATGCCCACATTCCCTCCCAGCAGCCAGGAATGGGGATGAGGAGAGGGAGGAAATGACGTGCCCAATGGAGTCACAGAAGAGACCCTCTAAATAGTTAATCCAGGGCTACAGGTTCCACAACATGGGAGAACCCCCATGCACTCAGAGAAACGTGCAGATTATTAATCAGACTTCTCCACAAATCATAATGCACACAATTACAAATGCCTGTAGCAAATCTCCAATGGGTATGCTTTTTATTTTGAATCCAAACAAGTAATTCTGAGGACATTCCCCCCATGTTTACATTATTTTCCAAAAAAGTGCTGTAAACACCATATGAACATTAATAAGTGACAGATACAAAAATGAGTTTAGGGGAAGCTAAAAACTGAATTCACTTATTCTTTTCCCCTCATGTCTCATCTGCTAGGTCCTACTGGAAGGATCTCAATTATGGGAAACAGGGTACAGAACACTGACCCGTCACACAGGATAAATGACAGAGATTACATGGGCTGGATGGATTTTGGACGCCGCAGTGCTGAAGAATACGAGGACTCCTCTTAAAGAACAGCAAACTATCTCAAAAAGAAGAATCCTACTCCCTTTTCTGTACAGAAGGAAAAAATTAATTTGTTGTCCTCTACAAATCAGTGTTTAAAAAAATATATTATGTCCTTGATGTAAATTTGTCTGTAAAACTATACAATGCAATATATACATATGCAGAATTTTCAAAAAAAAAATGTTCTCTTTCTCCTATGGTTTCTTCTCATACACTGTTGATATTATATTAAAATTATTTCATTTATTCCCTTCTTGTCCTGTCACAGCAAGTTGCTGGGTGTCTTACAATAAACTCAAGCAGGAAAATGCCTTCATTCTACTAGGTAAATATATTACATGTGTTAAGCAAGCATACAGGTGAAAAACCACTTTTAAAATAAACCTTGCAGCATTCTCTTTGGTTGTGGACTCTAGAGGTAACCTGTCCAAGTGTCTATCTAATAGCACAGTTTTGCCACAAAAGGTCAAGTATCTTCATGGTTACCCCATTTGTAAAGGATTCAGTTATACAACAAAGTCACATGTTTTCAGTGAATGGTCAACAGTGCTGAACTTTAGGAAAAACCTTACATCTTCTTGTCTCAGTTATTTTCTGTTGTGAATTAAATGTGAAAATTCTGCTAACAGCTATGAATCATGGAATAAATAGAACATCCCTTGCCTTGTGGTGAGTTACACATTTGTTCTGGGTTTGTGAGGTAACCCTGTAGCTACAGCTCTTTCGAGGGAGGTGGAAGGGAAGTGCCATGTAGTCTATATCATAATAGTTGTAATTATTACACAGTGTATATCACACTGTTTTCTCCTATGAGAGTACTTACATAAAAGTAGAATGAGTCTTTAAATCATAAGTTAGAAAAATACTTCTATTGACTTAAAACAGGAACAAAGTGCACCTCAAATGACTTCAGCCTGAGCCCAACTATTGCCCAGTCCTGCTGTCTTTGTATCAAGTGAAAACTCCCATTGATTTAAATATGATTTTGCCAGAGTAAGGACTTCAGGATTGGGCTCAATATCATTCTCTCTCCCATTCCTTTGAGGTAAATCTCAAGCTATGTACAATATTTTTATTATTTATTTAGATATTAAATTATAAAGCCATCTATCTGCAGTTCTAGGTGCCCTGACATTAATAAGCATGCAATAAATACAATTAAATTAATCCTCGGCAGCACCAAAATCTACAGAATGTTGGCCAACCAACCCCTCTTCATCCTTGACATGGCCTCAGCCTTCTCCAGAGACCTCATCAAACTTTCAGTGGTATCAAAATCTAGTCACCAGGGCATATAAAACTTGTATTTTCAAGGAACAGGCAATGACATGGCGGTGAACTTGGTGAAAAACATTTCAGCACATTTTTACAGAGGAAATAACCTGTTACTCTTAATAATGTTACCATTGCTTCTTTATGAGGAATGAAAATATCAAGTGACATGCAGCAGAGAAATTGAAGCACACAGCTAGGAGCTAGAAGGATTATAATTCTGGCTGAGACAGTGATTTAGACTATAACCTTGGCGGAAGACATTGTGTCTCCTTTTGTCTCACTCAGCCCAGCTAAACCACTGGGTAAAATATAAAACTTTTTAGAAAAACCAGATGTTGCATCTGAACAGAGCTTTACTGGGTAAAAAATGCAAAAATATAACCAGAGCATATCATACACTGCTAACTTCTCTACTGAAATACATACAATTGCTGACATTCAACTTGCTACCAACACTGCGCATCGGAGAAAAATGTGGGAATAAGGAACGTTGTCAGAAAGTGCAATTAGAGGATGGTCTGAAATGTACCTGCAAAAATGACATTGTGCTATGCTGTATTTATTGGATGAAACAGTGACACAACTGAAGTCTGTGGCAAAACTCCCCTTGATTTCAATGGTGGGGGGGGGTGTCAGGATTTCACCCATTCTCTCTCCATGATTTTCAGATCAAATTTGTTCAGTTTACAAGCCCAAAGATGATTTTTATGAGTCCCTGCATGATAATTCAGCTGATGATTTGAAAATAAAGTTGTGTGTTTTCCCTCTTTGTCACCCTTTCTACCACAGCTTCTGCAATCAGACCTCAGATGACATGTCATTCATGATACATAAAGTGGAATAAAATCCAATTTCTGCCTCTGGGCATGTTCTGTTCCACTGTATATTAACTATGCATTGTCCTGGAGAACATGAGTGAATGAGAGGCTGCAGTTCCCCGAGGCTGCAGTTCACCCATTGCCCATGCCTGGGTGAATATCCTATCCCCCGAGTTAAAGGTTATAATGGAGGCCTCTTCCTCCTCCCAGTTTGTGTGGCGTTAGGCATGTGCCACCATCTCTGTTCTTGCAAGAAAAGACTTAGGTACCTGACTCAAAGAGAGGGTTCTTAGCTGTGGATCCAACCTCCTCCCAGTCTAGGCACCTAATTCCCTGAAAGGGAAGGGGCTTAGGACACACCCCTCTCTTCAGCATCTGCTATTGGTTAGCTGAGGCACTCCCCAACCAGCGTACCCTTGCTCTTGTGGATCCCATTCTTATGGATCCCATGCATCATATAGGCAGCCTCGGTGCCTAACTCAGGCTTTGTGAATTACATGCTTGGGGAGGGGGATGGTTATTTTGTTAAGGAGGCTTGGTGGCTGTCAGGGTTCTCTCCCCACTCTGAACTCTAGGGTACAGATGTGGGGACCCACATGAAAGACCCCCTAAGCTGATTTCTACCACCACCAAGTGAGTTAGACAAAGATTTGGGAAAAGGACCACTTGGAGTTCCACCTGGAGTTTCCCCACAAATATCCCCCCAAGCCCCTTCACCTCCTTTCCTGAGGAGGCTTGAGAATAATATACCAACCAAATAGGTAAACAAAGTGAGCACAGACCAGACCCTTGGGTTTTTAGGACACTAAAAACCAATCAGGTTCTTAAAAACAGAATTTTATTATAAAGAAAAACGTAAAAGAAGCACCTCTGTAAAAATCAGGATGGAAGGTAATTTTACAGGGTAATAAGATTTAAAACAAAGAGGATTCTCCTCTAGGCAAGACTTTGAAGTTACAAAAAACAGGAATAAACTGCCCTCTAAGCATAGGGAAAATTCACAAGCTAAAACAAAAGGTAATCTAATGCATTTCCTTGCTATTACTTACAATTTTTGTAATCTTAGATGCTTATTTCAGGTAGGATTTTAGGAGATTTTTTTTCCTGCCCTGGTCCCTCTCTGTCCCAGAGACAACAACAAAGAGAGCACAAAAAACCCCTCCCCCCACAGATATGAAAGGATCTTCTTCCCTTATTGGTCCTCTTGGTCAGGTGCCAACCAGGTTATCTGAGCTTCTTAACCCCTTACAGGTAAAGGAGGCATTTTACGGTACCCTTAGCTGTAGTTTATGACAGTGGCCCAGAAGGAAGAGATGTGAAAATGTTCTGTTTCAGCTAGCCTGTTGACTTGATCCGGTTTCCTGACTTAAGGTGATTTTGTTGGTGTACTTTTAGGTGCCCTCTCATACCTAATTATCGCTATGAGCCTTGGAATTGAGAACTTCTGGGAGTGGAAATGCTCCTGCAGAAGAACCTGAGTCAAGGCACTAGTTGAGAGAAGTGAGGGAAAAGCCTCTCGGAGTTGTAGTCAGGGGCATCAGAGGAACTACTTTAGTTCGGTATTTTGCCTAAATTTCTGTTCAGCCAATAAACTCTGCCCTTAGGTAAGGGCCGGAAACAGATCCTGCCTGGGCTGGCAAGTTAGCTCTCCAGCTTACAATTTCCTTTATCTTTAAAAGCGTCAGCTGTTTCCAAAAGGTAATGGCAGACCTTCTGTCTGACACACATTTATTTCCAGCAACTCCAGGAAAGGATTCAGGTTTTCTTCCCACTTAATTAAAGGCAACCTGCAATGAAGGACAAATTCTATGGCACTCCATCAAGTTAGGCCTTCTGTCTTTTGCAATCCCTTTGAGACAGATTTTTAGCTCCTATTCCAAGCACAAGTCTACCTTTTACAAACTCATTGCTCTCCTCAAACTCAAAGTATTCAACCAGTTGCTATAGGTTTCTAAAAAAGACTTCAACTGTATCCTCCTTCACTTTGGAGCAACTGACGAAAACATGCTCTCTCATGTTATATTCCTCTTATGGACAGGACAGTCATAATGCCTTTGGAAAATATTATCATGATCACCCTCATCTTTTCTGCTGCTAAAGTGGGTTGCCTTAAAAACCAACCTCCTATTTCATTCTTTAGCTTCATTGCATCTCTCCAAGGCTTTGTAGCTCTCTCTCAGTATCTTTATGAGGCCATGATGGAAAACTCTACAGATTCTTCGCTGGATTAATCAACCTTAGTATTTACATTGAAAGGGGACATCACATTATTGTAGTAGGAGGATAGACTTTCCATACATCAGTTAAACACCCAAAGTGAAGCCTTGAAGTAAGAGAGAATCCCAAACCCTGCACTAAAATGTGGCTTAAGGGCTTAAAATAGGGTCTCGGTGTTTTAACCCTGTATTTCCCTATTACATTGTTCTGTTTACAATTTAATGAAGATAAATAAAAATCCAAATATGTAGTAAAAGCAAAGCAGAATTTCATTACTTTATGGAGATGCATTAACTGAAAGGATGGATGGTTATTGGTTAAGGCATGGGAGGGCCTTTCACTAGCTCTTAGTTCAGTTCCCAGTTCTGCCACAGATTTCCTGTGTGACATTGGGCAAGTCAGTTAATCTCTATGACGCAGTTGCTCATTTGTAAAAAATTAAGCTAATGTGTCTTTTCTCCACATATGAATAGAGAAGACAGGGAACTGATCAAGTAGACCTGACCAAATAACTGATTTTTTGTTTAGTAGCTGAGCCAAAACATTTAAAAAAAAGTTTCAAACTGAAACGTAATGTCAGTGAGGTTGAATGAAATGTTGTTTTGAATTGATATTTCATTTTCAAAATGTCATTTTTAAAACAAAATATCAAAACAGCTGATTTCAAAAATGTCAAACCAAAACCTTTTGACATTTCTGGGGGGAAAAAAATCTGAGTATTTTTCATCCAAAACTATTTGCTGAATTTGGTCTGAATTTGCAAATAGTTAAAAATGTACTCTGTTTTGGGGATCAAATTTACCATTTGCCAAAATCTTTTTTGCCCAGCTCTAATTATAAGCTCATTGGGACAGGGAATATCTTATGCCCAGTAATTTGTACCTAGCATAATGGAGCTCCAGTCTTGCTTGGAGTCTTTAGGCACTACTGTAACACAAATACTAAATAAAAGAAAATATCCTAATTTTCATGCCCCCCCAAAAAAGACAATAAAATGTTAAACTTAAGACATGTACTAAACCTACAAATTCTGAGTTAAATCTAATACAGATGTCCCCTTTACCAAGTCTCAGACAACCATTAAGAAATATATAGAAAAGTATATTTAAATCCATTTAATGTGTTATATGCTTTTTCTTCTATTTCTCTTCCCATTGGACCAAACAGAATACTAATGTGTAGAAATCAACAGCTCTGTGGGCAGTCTTTGTGCAGAAGGCATGATCCACACTGCTGCCCAGGATTTTGACTATGTGATGACATACATAGAGGGCCTGATCTAAATGGAAAAATTAGCATGTCATCATGAGATCACAGATGATTTGTGCTATATTAACCCATTTTTCCCCATT